TCGGCCTCCGCACCCGCAGTCGCTGCCCCTCCACCCATTGCCTCTTCTGCCTCTCCTGCATCCCTCTCCACTTCTCATGGTGCTGCTCCAGCCTCCTCAGGTGCTCTCCACCATGGGACTCTATCACAGGTGGAGTGGGTGCAATCCTGGTGAAATGTGCTGCGAGAGTCGGGTCAATGGGCCTCCTGTTTCCTGGGACCAGCGCCAGATAGTGGCCATTGGCGATAGTGTGGTTCTGGTTGTCTTCCTCTGAGTGCGTTTGCAGCTTGTGCTCTGCTTCATTTCTCATCTCGTTTCCTGTGAGACAGTCAAGGTCACTTAGTGCATCAATTAGAGATGCATACATCAAACAGAACAGGTGGTGCAACAACAGGGGCCGAGGACGAGAGGGGTCAGGAGAGATCTGACAGGAGGGCGAAGGTGTAACCCACAAAGAAAGGGTTCACAAAATCAAGTGACAGTATGTACAAACCAAGAAAGAGGAAGACATCACAGGGCAGTTACTGTGAGACGGGTTCTCTCTGAAGTTGTATCTCCTTTAAGATTTTGTCCTTTGATTTCTGCTGCTTTGTCCTGTGGACACAGCGATCATCATGCAAGACAGCGGCCATACATGCACACTACATTACAGACAATGTGACCAATGAACACACGGGATCAAACTGACACAAACATCACCAAGGTAATGAACGGAGTAAGATCGGAGCTGAACTGTGAACGACTAGCGTGTCTGGTGCCATGTGTGATCACCAAGTCATGAAAACTCTGCTAAAGCAGCTGATGGCCGTTAGTTTGGGAGCCCTCTGATTGCAGAGTCTCAAGAAGATATGATCAGTTTAGAAAAGCAGCAGACCCGAGTTTCAGGTACACTAGAGTGTGTGTGTGTGTGTGTGAGATTTGGGTTCAGGGTCTGGAGTGCTTTCCTGTCAGGGTCAGGATGAACAGGCTGGAGAAACAGGAGACAAGTGTTTGGTGTTGAGCTGCAACATTCAGATGCATTTATGTATAAAGACAAAACATTTAGGGCACCTGAGAAAAGGAATGAGCATGTTGGAGAACGGCACTGGGACACCACATGGTTTACCTCTGTGATTCGGACCAAAATTCCATTTCAGATACAACACTATTCTACACTGCTGCATCACTTCCTGTTTGCCGGTTATTCCCATGGTGAGGAAGAGGAGGTACAATGGGAAATGAATTGTATAAACAAATACACAGCGACTCAAACACAGACATGCTGGATCCACAGGGAAAATAAGAAACAGGAACAAGATGCCTTGCAATGACGCTTTAATGTAATTTTGAAAGATAACCTAGTGTGAACCATTCTTTCATGAACATGTTTAGTGGAGAACTGTTTCAACTTCAAGGTAGTACACAGTCTTTTGTTAGTTAAACATGCAATATACTGTTGAACTAGTCGACCTGATGCCCGCTACAAGAGCCTCTCTGTGAGTGCAGCGCCGTGACAGCGCTGCGGCCTCTCATCACAGACAACAGGCTAGTTGATGGCCTCTGGGACAGAGGATCAGCAAACTGAGGCTTGAAGCTTTGTCACTCGAAACCAAATGTCTGAAACACATACTGTACGTGACTGCACATTATATACCGTAACACCCTATGCAGAGAGCACAGAAGCTCTTGAAGCACACATTTAAAACTTCACTGGCGATCTAACACTCCCACACCTACCTCGACACATCTGTAAGGGCCTCACAGCCATGTTAACATCTAGCCTTTATTTGGAAGCTACAAGTCTTGAAACAAGAACAGAAACCTTTAAAAAGGAGCATGTGACTTTTGCTACGGAGCTGCTGAACATGAAGCATGTACACAGGTTTAAGGAGGACCGGGTCTCAACAGTAAAACAAGCAAAAAGCAACATATAAGCAAATACAAAACCAAAAAATCATTGACATTTGTTCAGTAAAAACAGTAGGATAAATACACAGAGTCCATTTTGTTCCATCTGTGTTTGTTTTTCTTTTAAAAGGTTTAAAAGCTCAGTCACGTTGGACCAGTCAGTCTACAGCCCATCAGGGGCTCCTGAATACGCAGTGTTACTTAAAAAGAACATTCTACTAGAAAATGGTAGTAGCTATTGTACATAAAGGGGTTTAAGTCATACACTCGTCACCGTAACAGTATGAAAGAGGGAGGCTTCATTTAAAAATTGCTACAGTCATTTTTCCCATCTCCTTCGTGCACGTTTTAAACCTTCTTCCTTCTAGGCATCTAATCAACCGGAGAGAAAACCAACGACAGGTAAAGGGGGAGGGTTGCGGGAAAAAGGTGCATTCCAAGGGCGGTGGTGGTGGTGGGGGGGCTTATACATTACCTTCCAGAAAACTATCAGTCTTATCACATACGGTGGAGTAGTAGGGTGGCTGACTGTCGCCGGTGTCTCCGGACTCCTGGCCACCAAGGCGGTGACTGGGCTCCAAAGGGTCAACCTGTTCCAAGTGGTCTGCTGCGATCTTTGCCCCCAGCAGGTAGTGGTGCTCAGCTAGACTGGGCTGCATGTCTCCGGAGTGGTCCAAAGGCATCAGGTCCACAGGTCGACCCAACAGGTCCTCAGCACAAGCAGTGGCGGCAGCTGATGGCAGGGTCAGCTCCTTGATGAGGGAGGGGTCCTTGGCCTCCTCTGGCAGCTGCTCCTCATTCTCCAGGGAGAAGATCCCCGGGCTCTTCCCGCAGCTCTCTGCCATAGAGTGGGCATTGGAGTTGGATGTGGTGCAGTCAAAGCCGTAAGAAGCCACAGAGTTGGCTGACTGTGGAGTGACCCCACCTCCGTCCTCTTCGCCCTCTCCCGCAGGTGTGTCTGCCACCTCCTCATCCTCCTCCAGAGCAGGCAGATTACAGGTTGGAGGAGGGCTTTCAAATCCAGCACTCTCGCTCGCCATCATTGACCCTTCAGGGTCGTTAATTTGCATCTCACCCTCAGTGTCGCTGGCCTCGTCTCCTGAGGTGGACGGTGAGGACGGGGCAGATGCTGGAGCGGTTGAGGGTCCGGTTCCCAAGATCTCGTCGGCAGGGAGCGTCTCAGCCTCCTCCTCTTCTCCGTCACCTTTCTCCAAGTGAATGCCCAGGTCCTGATCCATGTCAGGCTGGACTGAAGCAGGCAGCGGGGTGTGCTGCTTGTCAGAACGGGACTCCACCCCAGAGCTGCTGTCGTAGTCACGGAGCTCCTCTGGCGTGCTCGTCTCACTGCTGCTGTGGGCGGCCAGAGCTGTGCCACTCAGAGTGCTGGACTGGGACATGCCTACAGGGGGGGCAGCAAGCATGACGGGAGCCTCCTCAGGAGCTGAACTCTGGGGCTCCTGCTCACACCGAGGAGCGAAAGAAGGGGCGCTGCTCTCCAAACATGCTTGGGCAGGAGACTGGGCTGGGGTTTCAGATTCAGCTGCACCATGGTCAGAAACTGGACTAGGGGAGGAGACAGAGAACAGGGAAGCTGGCTGAGCCCAGGTATCAGAGAAGGGGCTGGTCTGGCCCCAGGAGGAGGCCGGGGGCATGCGATTGAGGTTGTCTAAACGCTCCTCCTCATTGAAATCATCTTCATCTACATTGCCACAGCTCTCTGTCACACCTTCACTGTGCATCTCTACATCTTCATCCTCTTCCTCCTCCTCCTCCTGCTGCTGGAACACCCTGTGATGCCCCTCTACTCTCTCTGAATTCAGGTCCATATCATCCACCCGCTCATCCTCCTCATCCTCATCCTCTTCCTCGTTGGCCAAGGTTTCCACGTTGGGAGAGCCTATGAGGTTACCATCTCCCTCAGAGCCGCGGAGGCTCGAGTCGACCAGGGCGTCTGAGCTCTGGGTGCCCTCCAGTATGGCGGTGTGCAGGGTGCTGCTGAGGTCAGAGACCCCCTGCTGCCGGCTGCTGGTACAGCTGCTCACATCCTCTGAGTCCATCCCTGACAGCAGGTCGTCACCTGGCCAGCCCACTGAGCCACTGATGCCTAAGGACCTCACTTGGAACTCCTCAGAGGGCTGAGACATGCTCGTGTCAGTGATCATGGATGAAAGATGGTGTTCGAGCCTCCTCTGTTCCTCGTATTCCTCCTCCTCGTCATCATCCTCATTGATCTCCTCATCAGCCTTTTCCACTGCTGCCTCCTTTCCATGAAGGGAGATAAAGTCCCCGGAGAGGAAGTCATCCATGGGCGATGCACCCTCCAGGTGAGGCTGTGCAGATGGAGCTGCAGAGAAAGACATGAACAGGTTCTCCTCCTCCTCCTCCTCCTCAAAGTGTTCTTTATTCTGCCTTTCCTCTTCTGCCTGGAAGTTCATCATACTGACTGCGCTCTGGGAAACAATGTCAGACAAGGCCACGGGTTGGTTCCGGTCCCAGGGATCTGACTGTGTGTCCAGCAGGGAGGAGGCCTCCTCCCTTACGGGAGAGGCAGGGCCTGGTGGGGAACAAGGAGGAGACATGACAGTAGTTCCCAGGGAAGTAACCGAGTCCTGGGCAGATTCCTCGTATTTGTAAAGGTCCAGCTGGGCTGACAGCTGACCGCTGGAGGCTGGTTCATGCTCTGCAGATGGCTGAGACAGTGGCTCTACAGGAGGTTCTGGAGATGTTTCTTCTACTTTGTCTGGACTTGGTTCATGTACAGGCTCTGGTGTTGGCTCACGTACGGGTTCAGGTGTCGGCTCCCATACCGGCTCTGGTGTTGGCTCACGTACAGGTTCAGGTGTCGGCTCCCATACCAGCTCTGGTGTTGGCTCACGTACAGGTTCAGGTGTCGGCTCCCGTACTGGCTCTGGTGTTGGCTCACGTACCGGCTCTGGTGTCAGGTCACGTACAGGCTCTGGTGTCAGGGCTTGTACCGGCCCTGGGTCATGTACCGGCTCTGGTGTCAGGTCACGTACAGGCTCTGGTGTCGGCTCCCGTACAGGCTCTGGCGTCAGGTCATGTACCGGCTCTGGTGTCAGGTCATGTAGAAGCTCTGGTGTTGGTTCCTTTATGGGTTCAGGTGTTGGCTCCCGTACGGGCTCCAGTGTCGGTTCACATACAGGTTCTGGTGTTGGTTCTCGTGCTGATTCTACCACTGGTACAGAGACCGGTTCTGGTGTGAGCTCTGAAGTTTTGTCTAGCGCTGCTTCATGAGCTGTAGCAGGTGGCTGTACAGCTGCTTCTGCAGAAGGTTCTGGTTCTTCCAGCCCAGCACTGACAACTGCTGTAGTAGCGAT